TGGCTCGAACGCGCCCACGAATACAACGAGCACATTGAACATTTCACGTTCCAACAGCGGTGTTGGCTTAGGTATTGGAAAGCATCATTTGCATGGCGTGGTGATGCGCGGCAGCAGTGTTGGCGGCACATCCAGCGGTGTGGCACATCATCGTTTGAGTTTAGTTACAGCTGGTATAAATGCTTGCACGAACGCTTCGCCGCGTTCACATTCACCTTACTCGGCGAGTCCGGTCGACAGTCCGCGCATTAATTCACCCATGCAGTTTCCATTTGCGCCCATAAAACGCATTGCATCGTGCCGCGGTGACGGCAGACGTTGGTCCGTGGCATCGTTGCCTTCTTCGGGTTATGGCACGACGCCTGGCAGCTCAAATTTGTCGGTGAGTTAAGCAGCAATATTGTATATGTAAAGTTATACATGCTTCGAGTGTTTATTAAAAAATGTCTTTACTGCAGTCACAGTGTTCCAGCCAGGAAGCCCTCCATCAGCTACAAAACATTCCACCCGGTGAGGATGCAGCACAAGATGCCGCCAATGCCATCACATGCTGTGTAGAGCATTTACAAGCAGCCATAGCCGCGGCGCCGCGCATGCACTGTCAAAAACACTGCGCTCTATTGACCGCCGCTTACACACCATCAACGCCCACACTTGCTACAATGGCAATAGCAACAACGAGCAAAACAATGTCCGTCCCACAAACAACAACGAACAATACGAGCATCAACAATAGCAGCACAAAAGAGTCGAACAAAAATGCCAATGCGCAGCAACCGCAGCAACACCAAGCCGCACGCCCACACTGTCCCAACTGTTGTGTTGATAGTAATGTTTTATGTGCTGGTGGCAAGGTATGCTCCGCCAATGCTCCACTAGGCACACCATCGAATGCCGCCAAAATGGCTGCAGGCGCACCACAGCCATGTACACCCAACGCGAATGCCAACTGCAGCGGTAGCGGCAATAATAGTTGCTCAGCTGGTTTTGCGGGGCGCATGTCGCCCTTTCACCGTCCACGCTCGCGTTCGCTTTCAAGTCCGTCGCGTTCACCAATCGTGGACAACGAAATCGCCATGATGAACACGTTGTATAAGGAACGCTTTCCGAAGGCAACGCAACAGATGGAGGAGCGCCTAAAGCATTTTATAAATGAGAATAAGAGCGTAGCGTGCAACAGTTTCCGCGACTCGCAGCCAATTGTGCGGTAGGTGCAATTCAACATGGCATTTTGTTTGCAATATTATTAATTTAACTTTTTACAGCTTTGTCCATCATCAAGTGCTTGAAATGGCGCGCGATTGCTTACATAAGTCTGAGGCAAAACTAATAACATCACGTTATTTCTACGAAATGAGTGAGAATCTCGAACGTTTACTATTAGAAACGAAAGATAAATCGCCCGAAGCTGCGGCAGAGCTAACTGGTGTCATTAAAAAGCTACTTTTAATCATATCGCGCCCGGCACGTTTACTCGAATGCTTAGAATTCGATCCGGAGGAGTTTTATCAACTATTAGAGGCTGCTGAGGGTCAAGCCAAAGCCATACAAGGCATCAAAGCCGACATACCGCAGTACATCATACATAAGTTAGGTTTAAATCGTGATCCGATAGCTGAGATGCAACAGGAGATGAAGGAAACACAGGCTGTTTGTGAGGGCAATCTCTCAGCGACCGACATTACCGCCGCAGCTGATAATTCGCAGGAACAACAAACACCCTTGCTCTTAAATTCACCACTCACCTGTGTGACAGCCAACTTCAATGCATCGAATACCCTACTGACCGGCGATGCACATGCCGTAAGCAGTGGTTCTTGCACACCACATCCACCGCTGCCACTGCAACCACCACAAACACCGGTAGCGAGTGGACCTGACATTCCAATGCCCTCATTTGCATCGGCCATCTGCACGGCGGTGGTGAGTGCCACAAACACTGCCACAACTAGCACGGCCAAACAGCAGGCGACACAAACCGCACAGCCGATACCGAACGAACACGATTTCGATATCGTTAAATTGATCTCAAATGGCGCCTACGGTGCGGTGTACCTGGTTAAGCATAAGACTACTCGCCAACGTTTCGCCATGAAAAAAATCAACAAAAATAATCTCATTTTGCGTAATCAGGTGGAACAGGTGTTTGCCGAACGTGATATACTCTCGTTTGCCGACAATCCCTTTGTGGTGAGCATGTATTGTTCCTTCGAGACGAAAAAGCATTTATGCTTGGTAATGGAGTATGTTGAGGGTGGTGATTGTGCGACGCTTCTGAAAAATATCGGACCATTGCCGCCGGATATGGCGCGTTTTTATTTTGCGGAAACAGTATTAGCGGTGGAATATTTGCATAGTTATGGCATTGTACATCGCGATCTCAAGCCTGATAATCTACTCATCACGGCTTTGGGGCATATAAAACTCACCGATTTTGGTTTATCGAAAATGGGTTTAATGTCATTGGCCACAAACCTATACGAAGGTTACATTGATTCAGAGACCAGACAGTTCTCGGATAAGCAGGTGAGTGCGTGACTTGAAAGGAATCATAATTTTCGAGGCTAGTTTTTTATAATAATTTTTGGAAGACATTCTGCAAAGTCTCGACTCTTAAAATTTCTTTAATATCCGCGTAAATTTAGTCTACAATGCCTTGGGAGCTAAGCCTGTCCTTACTTGTTCCTAAATACATTAATTTATTTATTTAAGGTTTACGGCACGCCGGAGTATATAGCGCCAGAAGTGATATTACGACAAGGTTATGGCAAGCCGGTCGATTGGTGGTCCATGGGTATTATATTGTATGAATTTTTGATTGGTTGTGTGCCATTTTTCGGCGAGACAGCGGAAGAGCTATTTGCGCACACGGTCAACGATGATATTGAGTGGCCGGATAGCGAGGATTGGGATGTGCAGCCAGAGGCAAAGGATTTGATAACACAATTGTTGCAACAAAATCCACGTGAACGTTTAGGCACACAAGGTGGCGCTTTAGAGGTTAAGGAGCATGTATATTTCATGGGCTTAGATTGGAATTCGCTGTTGCGGCAGAAGGCAGAATTTGTGCCACAATTGTCCACTGAGGACGATACGAGCTATTTTGATAGTGAGTTTTTATTTTATTTATAAAATTATACAGATATACTATATTAAATGAAATTAATTTACAGCACGCATGGATCGTTACAATCACGATTTAGCTGGCGAGGATACCGACGATACCGACGACACGCCCGTGTTTGGCTCATTCTCATCGTTAACACCACAGTATCGCAAACAACATTATTCTTGGTCCCGTGTACCCTCCGCCAGTTCCAGCACAACAATGACACCCACAAGCACCAGTGCAGCATCAGTTTCGGTATCTGCTTCGAGCGCCACGGCCGACAGCTCCTCGAAACAAACTGAGGTCAAGCCGGAGGCTGTGACCACCGCCACCAGCAAAGCTGGTAATGTTTCTGCCTGCGATAGTAATACCACAGTGGACTCGTCTATGGCTTTGGTGAAATGCAAAAATAACTCGGCGCTTTCACCCAGCATGAGCAGCGATTTTATTGCAAATAAACTGCTGACAACGCCACAATTGCGCAAACTGGACGTGAGTATTGCGTTTTTCAAAATTGCCATACAATTTTGTTGTTGTAATATTCTTAACCTATTTTCTTCTTCGTCTTTCACAGCTTACATCCGGTTGCCTCAAAGTGCCATCCACGCCCGATGCTGACTATCTGCCCGAATTATTGCACAACATCACCATCGGCAATGACAACGAACTACGTCTGCTCAATCAATTCTTGCGCCAATCATCCATTTCCAGTCCATCGGCTTCACCGGCTAGCAGCGCCGGCAGCGGCACCGCTTATTTGCAACAACGCCAACGTCAACCGCAACGCCATAGCATGCCAGCAACGACAACGGCCATAATTACCACACCCGCTACACCGCCGGCAACGATTGTGAGCGCCGCGGCTGCTCAAGCAGCTGCAATTGCCCCCGCCGAAACGCATGCCTCACCGCACTCCACAACCAGCGCTTTGGTGAAGGCAGCACATCCGCATCCATCATTAATACCAGCTGTTGCGGCGGCAACGTCGCGCAGCACACCCGAATCCTCAACAGCCACAGATAGTGACGACTTCTCACCACAAATTCATCGCAAACGCAAAGGTGTCTGCGCGCGTGACATACTACCACGTTTCTCCATATCAATCGAGGATGAGACGGTGAGTGGCGGCTCATCGTCTGCCGAAAATACGCGTGAACAATCACCGCTTGCATTACAGCATCATCACAAATCGATGGACGGCCACCTGGGCAAACATCGTTCGCGTTCGATTGTTAAGTCCGCATCGGCTTTGGGGCTGTCTTTGATGTCCAGCGGTGTGGATAATCAACAATTGGCACAGCAACTGTGCGGCATAGCAGCTGGCATACAATCGCCTAGCAGCGGTGCAGGCGCTAGTGGTAATGGCGGCTCCAGCACAGCAAGTTCACGTGACACTTCGCCATGTCGCGATCTTTCACCTTTGGTAACGAACCTGAAGCCGCCTATCATTATTAGGCGTGGTCCACGTGGATTTGGTTTCACAGTGCACACCATACGTGTTTATTATGGCGACACCGATTTCTATACGATGCATCACTTAGTGATGGCTGTGGAGGAGGGTAGTCCTGCCTTTGAGGCTGGCCTGCGTCCCGCCGATTTGATTACACACGTAAATGGTGAGCTGGTGCAGGGTCTCTATCACACACAAGTCTTGCAGTTGTTGTTGAGTGGTGGCGAGCATGTAACATTGCGTGCCACGCCGCTGGAGCATACGAGCATACAGAGTGGTGGGCGCAAACGTGATTTAATGCAAAGTAAGCTGGCCAAGAAGGGCGTAAATCGGCAAAAGAAGCAAACGAAGAAAGAACATGACAAGAAGCGCAAAACTTCACTATTCCGGCGGATCAGCAATAAACGTGCGTCGGCAGAGATACAACAGGTGAGTAAGAAAAGCGATTGGTTTTTGTAGCGGTCCGGCAGTTTCGAATAACCTTGCTTTGCTATTTTATACCTTGATGTTGTCGCTGTTTTGACGGATGAGCAAGGGTCACTCTCGTTTCTCGCGGCTACTCGAGCTCTTCGTCTGCAATGGGTTGTGGTTTGACTCCAAATACGCCATTCCCTGAAAGGGAGTCGGTTAAGGTATTGATGGCTTGTCGGTGAATTGTCTGATATCGTCGACGCAGTTGAGGAATGACCTCTTGATATTTTTAGGAGGTGGTTCCGCTCCAAGCAGGTGATTGCAAGGATGATTTCAGCAAAAGCACCCCAGCAGGGGAGGAAGGTATCATTATGCTCCTTAAATGGGGACATAAGGCCTTCACTATGCAGGTGTTCGATAGGAGACATCAAGAGGCATCCTATCGTTATCCGGAGTACAGTATTCAGACAGGTCCGAATCTTCCTCGTCCGCATTTCACTGCATCTCGGCGACCATATTGGACCGGCCGGCCGATTGCCCTGTAGGTTGCCATCAACGTTTCTTTGTCCTTTCCCCATCTGCTGCCGGCTAGTGGCTTGAGGATTTTGCTGCAGCTCAGTACTTTGGCGTACAGACTTTCAAAAGACACACCCTTGTGTACCCTGATGTATTAAGATTGTCACGAAGCCTGGGTGTTACAGCATAAGAAAAAGTCGGAGAGTATAATATGAACGAGCTGAATTGATCCGACATGGCTGAGGACATGTAAGTCGGTCTAACCGACTGTATATACATTAATTCTCGCCAAGAAGCTACTCATTTGTTATTGTAGTAGCAGCAGAAAACATTTCTAAAGTTATTTCAAGGAGTGATGCCGAGTTGAGAGTCCTTGGCCGGATAAAAATCCGGGTTCTTTCTTGTTACTTAGACCTGACTGTTATGGGAACTGCTGTTCATTTGTCGGAATCGCCGATATCGAGTTAAGAAAGAAGAATATTACCATAGCTTCGGTGCAGCCGAAGTAATCTTTTCTTCTTGATGTGAAATTTCAGTGTAACGGTTGAAGCAGGGCTTAGTAGTGATATAAGTATAAGTAAATATTTTTTCCATTTTTTGTCCTAGATCGCTGCGGGTATTGTCGGTTCTCCCACCAATACGGCAGTCGCTTCGGTTGTTAGCGGTGCTTGTGGTACCGGCGGTGTTGGTAACGTAAATAATCGCAACTTATCGCCGATGGACTCATCGTATCATAGCAGCAGTTGCTGTCAATCAGCTGGTAATTCTTCGCAGTCTACTTCACCATCATCATCAGCACCGAATACACCAACTTGCGGTGGCACTGGTGCACAAACGCAGCCAACTTTCGCCAGCACACCAACAAAAGCTTCAGGCTTGACGATTTCAACAAGCGCAACGGCTGTGCTAATGCCGCATGGTGCAAGCGCTACAGGCGTTGCAGGGCCCGGCGCTGCTATTGGTGGTAACATACCGGGTAAGATAACCATTAAACGCATTAATTCACGCAAATATAATTCCTACCATTTCTGATTGCAGTATCACCCACATCGGTACCACAACTGTACCAACGGCCATCCACATTGCATGGCCTCAAGCACAAATTGCATACAGCCGGATGCGGCGGTAGTAACGCTGTGGTCGTGTGCCCAACCGCTGGTAGTGGTGCCGGTGTGGTGAAATCGCTACACACCAGTGCTGCTGGTGCATTGCCGCCAAATCGACGCAAATCTGTTGGTCATATACCACTTTCGCCACTGGCACGTACACCATCACCCTCACCCCTACCGGCCTCACCCACACGTTCACCATCACCACTAGCATTTCCTATTGTTGGACATCAGCCCGGCGCTTCGAACACCACGCAGTCATACAGTCCCGGCAGCTCATTGCCCACAGTACAAACCATGGCGAGCGGCTCGAAGAAAAGCGGATTCGTGCGCACCAAAAGTGGCGAACCCAGCTCACCATTGCTGCGGCGTGCGCTCTCACCCGACCGCCTACATCCACGCAGCGCTGAGGCAAAATGCACACTAATTTCACCGCTCTGCTGCTCGCCACCAATCAAGCAGCCGCAACAGCGTGTAATCGGCGGTGTGTGGCGACCCAACACTGGCACCGGCACCAGTGTAGGGGTCAGCGCTGCTGGTACGACCTCTAATGCAGTTACCACACTGCCGCCAATAAATACCATGCAGCAAAGTTTTACATGCATCGGTGGTGGCGGCAGCATGAATAATAATAATAACGGTAATGGTGCAGCAACAGCTGGGAGTATCGATGCCGCAAATGAATCTCAAATGCCGACCGGCAATGTGTTGAATACGGCCGAACAGACACCGCTAACGGTTGGTACGCCCACAAATATTGCTTTGCCAGCACCGGGTGAGATGTTGCCACGCATCGCAGAGGAAAAGGATTCACCCACCAGCACACATGAATCGGAGGAAGAGGCTGCACCCGCTGTGGCTGCCACCACTAATCTGACAAGTGCAACAACTTTGGGTGCCAGTGGTGTGAATGTTATGCAAACAATTGACGAGCATGGCGATGAAACTGCAGGTGGCGCGTGTGACACAAGCAGCACTGTGGCAGCTAAAAAGGAGCGTGATAATAGTAATAGCGTGTCACGGGATAATCGTAAGAAAAATGGTAAGTTAATACTTAAGCAACTTACTGTTGCCAAAAATATACAAAATGTGCTCATTCCAAACTCCTTTCAGTTGAAGAAAAGTCCACAATGGGCAATACATCGACTAGAAGTGGCAGCGGCGCAAATAACCGCAGCAGCAGCGCACCGTCTAGCGGTCGTAAGGAAAGCACATCCGCAAGTGTAACGGCAGCAAAATCGACAAACCCAACAACAGCTACTTCTACCAAGCACAAGAAGCAGTAAAATTTGTTAGCAAAAGGCGAACGACAGTGGTGGTGTTGGCAATCAAAGCAACATCTCCCCCGAAACAGCACGAATATTTATTTTAAACTCCCTTTTGTATTTTGTATTGTAATATTTTTTCTTATCGTTTTTCCTGCGGGAAATATGATTTGTGGAAGGTTAAAATTTGAATGTTAATTAATTAGTAGTGGTTAAGCAGCAGGAAGAAGAAGAACACACATGTGGGAGCGCACGCACACACAAAAGCGAGTAGAGAAGTGCATAGTGGAATCACTTATTGGGTGGGGCAACGGATGAATGTGTGCAAATATGTGTAGAGGGGGGCATTGTACGCAAATACTTTTACAATTGGTGGTCACATAAAACACCGTTCTAATGTAGAATGTATTGAATAGAATATTTTTTATACTTATTTTCTGCAATATGAAAAAACTGCAGCGAACTGCAGTTGCGTGCGGGGTGCATAAAGAGTGGGGCTGCATGTACATATATTATAATATTATTATGTTCATTGTTATATGATTGTGGCACATGTGGCTGTCAGCGTACGTTCAACGCCCATTTAAAGCAATTCGCTATTTTTATTATTATTATTATTTTAGTATTTAGTGATAAATTAAATTAATTGTAAAACAACAAAATATTACACATACTACATTACAAATTATGCGATATATACACTAACACATCTACATTCAATATACAAAACAAAACAAAATAATTTAAAAGCGCTAATATTGTAAGCGTGCTACTCGAAAAAGTTCAATAAAACAGTCCAAAAACCCGAAAAAAGTAAAAAAAATACGATAAAGTAATATTTTTGCCATAAAAATAATCAAGAAATACAAAACAAATACGAGTTGCTTAAATAAATATGAAAAAAATACAAAAAACAAATGAGAAATATTTTTGGGTCGCTATTAAATGAGAAACGAACAAAAAAACAAAGCATTTGTGGCGTGTAAACAATGTTAAGTATGGCGCTTTTCTTTTCTAGGCGCTATAGTGAAAGCTTGCTTATATTTTTACAAAGCAAATTTTTCATGCCATGACGCAAGACAGTAGGAAAATGCGTCAAGTGCGTCATATAATATTTATTTTACAAATTTGCGCTTTTAAAATGCATTGGAAATCTTGAATGTGTAAAAACACTTCATATTTCATTAACAAGTGTCGTTTTGGCAGGGAACGCATGCGCACAGTGTTGGTTTGTGGCTGTGTTGTATGAGAAGTGGAAAAAGCTAAGATAGCAGCTAATTAATGCGGACAAACAATATGAAACATTTAGCTACAGTTTTTAAAAATCTAGTTTGCTTTTGTTGTTACTGTATAAATTTAAGAGATATATTAATGCAGACTTTGGAAATTGAAGCTTAGCCGCTTAAGTGTACGTACATATGTATACAGCGGATGCAAAAAACAATATTTTTGCTTATTTATATAAAATATTACTGCCATTTTATGTCATTGCTTGTTAGTTTGTTAAATGCGGAAAAACATTTTTTTTTAAATAAATTTAAATATTGTCTTAAAATAAATTATTTACATTTTTTAAAATGGATTTTTAAAATTATTAAAA